AACGGGGGGGGGGGGGGGGGGTTTTTTTTTTTTTTATNAATGACATGTTAAAAGTCAAGCGTCTACGTGACCTTGAATATAGAGGAGACAAAGTCATTTGGACTCGAGTTGATTTCTCAGGGCAATGTTTAATTCTCTTTACCATTTATAGGCCCGAAAATTCTGTCCAACCCTTTTGGAACAATTTACGTGAATCTATAAACAGAGCTCTAGTTATTTCTCCCAATTTGATAGTCACGGGTGATCTTAACGTGGATTTGTGAACTATTTCATATAGGCATGTGTTGTCTGATATAATGAATACATACGGACTGATAAGTTTAATTAATGAACCTACTCGTATCTGTCCTACGAGATCTAGTCTCCTGGACCCCATCTTCATATCTGAAACTTTGACTTGTGTTGAAAGTAATGTTATTACAGTAGATGATTCGATCAGTGATCATGAGGCATGTATTGCTTCAATCAAAATATCTTTTGCTATTAAAACAGTGTAATAGAGAAAAGTCTGGCTTTATAAATCTGCCGACTTTGGTAACTTTACTAATAAGATTTTAGATTTCGATTGGGAACATAATTTTGCAACCTGTGATACTGTCGACGAAGCCTGTGACCTTTTTACATATATTTTTTTAGAATTTGCCGCATAAGTTATACCTTCCAAAGAAGTGACCGTTTGGCCAAACGACAAACCCTGGATGTCATTTGAACTTAGAAAACGGATAAGGATTTGGGATAGATTACACAAATGATATAGATCCCGTGGAAGCCCTTCTGATATCAACAAATTTAAGTCTCAGCGCAATAACGTTAATAACATGAAGAAAAATGCTCGTCTAAAGTTCTATGAAAATGTCCATTGTCTCATCGACTAATTTTCAACTTCAGATGTATATATCCACAAGCCTGGAAACTTGCGAAAGTAATGCCTTTGTTCAAGAAGGGGAACAGGCATCTTTGTTATCTACTGTTGGGAAAGTTTTTGAAAGGGTTGTTTTTAAACATATCCATAACAATTTTTTGGAAAACTCCTTCTTTTATCAACACCAGTCCGGTTTTATGCCGAATCATTCGACCTTATATCAACTCATTGAAATATATCACAATATCTGTCTAGCTTTAGAAGAAGAAAAAACATGCCGGTTTAGTTTTCTGCGACATTTCTAAGGCCTTTGATCGTGTATGGCATAAAGGGCTCATTATTAAATTAAAGTCTTATGGGATAACTGGCGAGCTATTGAATTGGATCAACAACTACCTATCTAATGGGAAACAACACGTTTTTATATCGAATTCTCTTTCTCGTGCTGGTTTCATAAAGGCAGGAGTTCTTCAAGGTTCTATTTTAGGCCCATTATTATTCTTGGTATATATTAAAGACATATCTGATGTATTGCTTTCTGCCTCTAGACTTTTCGCAGACGATACTTCTCTCTTACACATATCTTCTTCCTGTCAAGAAATAGAGACTGTCCTTAACCTAGACATTGATTCTTTAAGTAAATGGGCCAAAAAATGGTTAGTAGATTTCAATGCTAGTAAGACCAATGTTTTATTTATCTCTACTGCGACAGGACTAGATGGAGATTTAGAATTACGATTTAACAACCAATAATTGAATTTTAGTGATCAACACAGGCATTTAGGTGTAGTCTTCAATTCTGCAGGTAATTGGGGGGATAATATTTTAGCTATTTATACATCCGTTATGAAGAAAAGAAATGTTTTTAGAAGTCTGAAACATATTCTTAAAAGAGAAACTTTGTTGAATATATATAACTCTTTTATTTTGCCAATTTTTGATTACTGTTGTGAATTATGGGACGGATGTACAATTAATGAAAGTGAGAGGTTAGAAACATGTCAACGTGAAGCCGCACGTATCATTACTGGTCTTCCTTCCTATGCTAGTAATTATGCTCTCTATGTTTAATCGGGGTGAGGAGGACTCTCAGACAGGAGAAAAAGAAGGAAACTGCAGTTATTGTACAAAATGAGAAATTTTATCACCCCTGAATTCTTAAACAAAATTCTACCCAATACAGTAAACCAAAATGTCAGATATCCTTTAAGAAACAGCAATGACTTTGTAATACCAAATTTCAGACTTACTAGTACAAATTCATCCTACCTACCTTCTACGCTTCGCTCTTGGAACAGTTTAGATACTGCTAGAAGATCATCAGTCACTTTAGGAAGATTAAAAAAGACATCTCTCGAGAATTGAACACCAAATCGCCCAGTTATTTTGGTTATGGTGAACGAAAACTAAATATCATTCACACTAAATTAAGGTACAACTGCAGTTCCCTAAATTATGATTTATTTAAAGTCAACATCGTAGATAGTCCCGCCTGTGTCTGTAGATCTCCATGTGAAAACGCCTATCATTTCTTTTTTGAATGTCCAGTTTATACACACCAGAGGTTTTAATTGTTTCAAAATCTAAATTTTGTTAATGAAATCTCCTAAGATATATTGTTATCTGGTATTCCGGATCTGTCTTCTCAACAAAATAATGATATTTTTCATAAAGCCCAACGGTAGGTTTTAATTCGTAAGGCATTTTATACTTCTATACTCAATTTGTGAGACTGTTCAATGTTGTTCTTTCTCTTTTTGTTTCTGTTGTTGTAATGCTACTATTATACATATTATTTGATACCCAGTTGTGCCATGTTTGTAAATCTGATGTATATATTTGAGGAAAGGGCTTAAATAATGTTGTAATAACTTGTGCCCAATCTTGTTGTCACTATTTTGGCAAAACAATATGTTTAAACTAAAACATAATATTTATCATTTATGAAAAAAAATTGGGGCTTAAGAAAGCAGGGTCCGCGATCCCAAGCCCTGGGTGCACGCAATGTGTTGTAGCTGATGTTTTCGCAATATGTTTATGCATTTACAATAACATCATTTTTATATTTATAATGTAGTGTTTATATCTATAAAATAATGTATCTTCCCACAATTTCATTTTAAATATATTTATGCATTTACAACAACATCATTTTTATAATTATTTATAATGTAATATTTATATTCCTAAAAAAAGATCTTCCCGCAATTAAATTTTAAATATAGATTTTTTATTTGTATTGATACATTTTATTTCCTTGTTTATATATGTTAAAACGTTAGTTTCAATTATTGTCTTTTTCTTCTTTTCAACATTGAATCCAATAAAGTGACATGCCATTTTTCAATTCTGTTTATTTTTCAGTAAAATTTTGGGCGGATTGGTCGAGTTGTTAACACTCCGGCCTTCCACGCAGACGGCCGGGGCTCTATCCCCAAAGTCATCATACGCATGGACTATTCAGAGAAAGTGTTTTTCCGCAGCCCACATAACTTCAATAACCCAGATGGAGTATAAAATGGTCTGTGCTGGATGTTGCGGTATCTGTGCTGTAGCATTCAAGTGAGGTAGCACTATAATTAATGTCATTGGAAGCACGGTTCCACTACAAGCAGAACACGATACATCTACTGCACACACGGCGACATACACACATAGGGAGATATTAGCCAGGTGGCATAGGACTAGAGGTTAGCGCCTGATAAGGCAGCTCCTGCGAATTCCTCAAAATATTGTATTGATTAATGTATATATGCTAATTGTATCGATTGTATACATTGTATATCTGTGTACTGTAAAGCGCTTAGTCTAGCTAGATAGGGCGCTATATCAAGTGTTATATATTACAATATAATGATTGTATCGATTGTATAAATTGTATACCTATGTACTGTAAAGCGCTTAGTCTAGCTAGATAGGGCGCTATATCAAGTGTTGTATATTACAATATAATGATTTGTTCTATAGCTAAATGCGTGCCATGATTTCATATTATGCCATTTTCTCTGGAAAAATAAGAGGAAAAAGATGACTCATTATTTTTTTCTTCACGTATTCGGCACACAAATAGAACACAATTATGTTGATAATATTGATGTAATTGTAGTAGTACGAGGAATAGTGATAAAGATAGTGCCGTCGCTGGGGCTCGAACCCGTGATCCTTGCCTCTCCAGCCCAATGTCCCTACATGTACAGCTGATGCTGGTAAGGCAACCTAACCAATACACTTCTTTAACATAATTGTCCATTTCTTAAAACTGAGCCATTTACACAAAATATAACATTAAAGTTAAAGTTAAAAGTTGGTTTCTAATACAGAAACCGATAGAGCTCCTCTACACGACCGGGTACCTAAACGACCAGGTACAGTCGTTTCGGTACACGGTTGTTTCGGTACTTCAAAAATAAGAGGTTTCGGTACTTTTTGTAAGTAGTTTCGGTACTTTTTGTAAGTTGTTTCGGTACTTCAACAATTTTTCCGGAACTTCTTTTTTTAGTTAATAAATATTTCTCATTTGTCATGTATTGTTGGTTGTTAATTTTCGGTACTTCGTTTATTAGTTAAGAAATATTATCTATTGTTGGTTGTTTATTTTACGTTTGCTTTTGTAGTTGTTTAAACAATCAAGCAGATCAGTCAATCATTGTTTTCGAACTTCAAACGTGATCCCGCAACATACACGATGGTTGTTTATTTAACGTTTGCTTTTTTAACTGAGCAGCTGAGTAGATCGGAGTAGCTCCGAGTAGATCGGAGTAGCTCTTTAGGAGAGAAACTCAACGTTGAGGGAATTCACCAACTATCAAATTTATCAAAAAACTCATCATGTCTTTGGATGATACGTGTATTCAGTGTGACGGCGTTGTTCGACCTCGACAGGAAGCCCTTCAGTGTGACGTGTGCAGTAGATGGCAGCACAGAACGTGTGCAACTGGTGAGTACAAATCACTAATAATTAGGGATTTCCATTTCAGATTAAATTATTGTTTAAATATGAATTAAACATGTTATATATATGTCCCGTTACACTTAGCTAAAAATTAGCGATTTCCATTTCGGATTAAATTATTGTTTAAATATGAATTAAACATGTTATATATATGTCCCGCTATACTTAGCTATTTATTAATTAAACATGTTATATATATGTCCCGCTATACTTAGTTATTTATTATCACTGATCTCCGAGTTTCGACTAGAGAGATGCGTCGTGGATTACGAAGCGGGACTGTGGCAGGCCATCAGGCACCGTTTCTCCAACGTGAAAATCCAGGGATGTGCCTTCCATTGGACGCAGGCAGTATTCAGGAAAGTCCAAGAGCTGGGGTTGAAGGTAATTATATAGTGCCACAGTAACAAGCTATCACGGCTTAGATGGACGGGGCAATGTCTACAGTTCCATGAGTTCCACGAGTTCCATGTTTTTGCAGAAATCGCAATATATACAGGCATAAAATTGGCAATAGGAGGTCAGTCTTTATCCATCATTATGCATTTATATTTTCTCATTATAATTGTATTTTTTATCGACAGAAAGCATACGAGGAGCGGAGCAAGGTCCACGATTTCGTCAGCCAGGTAATGTCACTCCATTTCCTACCCAAGGAGCACATCTTGGGAGCATTCGACAGCCTGCGGGAACGGGCAACCTCCAAACCAATCTTGGACCTGATGAACTACATCGAGAGGACGTGGATGAGAAACAGGTACGCAGATGAAAAAAACGAAAATGACGTAATGACAAAAACATTACTTAAATTTGACTCAATTGATTTTTTTCTATGGCATAACAGGTTAAGAAAAAAAAAAACAGCATATATGCAATCCAAAGAATTAATGAAATGTATAGTTTAGTAATTATTTTATTTATTTTTCAGTCTTCCCGATCAGCAATTGGTGTGTGTTTAACACAGCTGTGAGAACCAACAATGACGTCGAAGGTTGGCACCATCGCCTGAACACCCGTGTGAACGTGAGGGGACCAGTCCCATTTTATCTGCTGTTCCGGGAAGCTGAGGCCATCCCCATGCAACTAAAAGTGGTGACAGAGGGGAAATTGAAAAGACATCAGAGGAAGCGGTCACGACAGGTAGAGACGCGTCTTCCGGATGTGGAAGCGTTACCAGCAGGGGAGACTTACAGCATCACAGCTACTACGGAAGGCCGCTTCCCTTGTTCTCTGAAGTGTAGTGACGATGTGAATAGTTTACGGGGAAGGGAACAGTCTTTAATAGTAGCTATATTTATGAAGTGTGGTTTAATATACGGGGAAGGGAATTCTTATACAGGGTAACGTGGGAAAAAGTATGTAATAGTAGCTATGGAATGACGATGTGAAAAGTTTACGGGGAAGGGAACAGTTTTTAATAGTAGCTATATTTATGACGATGTGAATTATGTTGTTAACTGTTTTTAAATGTATTTTAATTTTTGTTTACCGAGTATAAATATATGCTATCCATGTACGGAAATAAAATTATTCATCAATGTAATAATATTAATCTTGTTTTGTTTTTGGTATTCATGATTCATGACGTGTAAAAAAAAACTTATGTCACTGACATATTAGATATCAAGTTCGTGCTTATATCAAATATACATGAACTGTACCAAAACAAGCAAAGACCACTTCAAAAAATCTGATACAAACACGTGTATTATAGCACAAGTTTGACTTAGAGTTACTTCCCTTGAAGGTATACAGCACGCAAAAAGTGGTGACGTTGACTTAAACTTGGTACCAAAGTGTGTTTCCATAAGTACCTAAACGATTTTCAGAAGTACCGAAACAACTTTCAAAAGTACCGAAACGACTTTCAGAAGTACCGAAAAGTTAAAAAGAATGGATGTCTCATTTAAAAGGGCAACTTTATCAATATTTTTAATAAACCATTGCATAAATTTTCAGCAAAAATATCAAAATAAGTCAGAAAATTCGGTTGGAAAAAAAGAACAAACAAAAAGGGGAAAATAACGTAACGTGAAAAACATGTCTCGTCATTATGAACATCTAGCCGTGCGCTCTGTATTTATATGATACGATCACATAAATACATGCCATTATTATATGTAGTTGGCATACATAACAACATATACACGAGAAATATTATTACAAGAAACACAGCTCAAATTAAAAAAAAAAAAATTCGTTTAGGTTCCTTGGTTATGACTGGGGTCTGCTTTGGTCACACACAATGTGAAATGTATTTAATTCCCTTGAATTAGCTGATGTATCCCGTTTCGGTTACGTTAGGGTCCTTTTTGGTTCCGATTTGGCCTGTTTCGGTCCGATTCGGTACGATTCGGTCTGATTCGGTGGTTTATCGCACATGGGTATTAGACGCGAGACCGGAAACCCGGCTGGTTCGAAAAAATACCACAAACTTTGCGGACCTGTAGCACTACAGCGAATCGACAAAAGGGTATTTAATTCACTTTAAATAGATGCTGCATTCCTTGTCGATAGAGTTACGGTCCGTTTCTGTTCTCTTTCGTTTCCGAGTCTTTCTGTTTCAGTCCGATTCGGTGATTAGTCGCACATGGGTATTAGACGCGAGACTCGAAACTCGGCTGGTTCGAAAAATGGCCACAAAATCTGCAGACCTGAAGCACTACAGCGAATCGACAGAAGAGAAAATTGCCAAACAAGTTTTTGAGTGGGTTGCCACTGAAACTACTTACCCCCTGGGGTTCTACAACTTAGTTATAGAAACTAGTAATGCTAAGATAGGGACATCTTTCAGCGACGCAGCGGTCTATCTTCAAGTGATTGAGGAAGTTCGGGAGTCGGTACGGAAAGATCATGCAGACGGATTTCCAACCTGTGGACTGATTCCCATAAAGGACATTCTGAATGTGTCTATTCTAAAAGACTTTGTAGCAAATGGAGTAAAAGCTATCGAGAAATACCCAGACTGTTCCCAACAATCATTCTTGGCGTTGTTTGAATTCCTGCGTGGTAAGCTTGAAAAAGTTAACCATGATCGATTACGTGTGCGACTGTACATGTATCTGTGTTTTATTACATTTTTACCTGTGAAATATTAACAATTCTTTAAAAGCTAATGAAAATTGTCACTTTTGCTGATTTAACTAATCAAAACACTGATTGCAAACTACCATGGGAAAAGTTACAATTCTAGTAAAAGCCTGGTTAGCTTAACGATACGCAGGCCTCAAGAAAATCCGTCTTAGACATTAGACGATTCTACTGGCGGGAATAATCATCTGTTATCTATCATGGAGAATAATTCTATTGGGAAAACACAGCTTTTAATTCCAAAGTTAAGTTTCATTTTCATGAAAGCATATACAGACTATGCAGGTCAGCAATTCTAACTATTGGATCAAAGAAAACTCCATAAGTACAAGAATATTTTTTTTCTGTCGATTTTGCAAACATACAACATAAGCTACAAAGAGCCTGTATTTTGACAAAAACCATGAGTATAATAGAGACAATTTTTTTTATTACAACATGAAAAATTAAAAAACGTACTATACTGTAAGCACAGAAAGAAACAAAATTATCACATGGAAAGTATTTTGCACATAGTAGGCACATTGCACACGGCAAGCACATCATTTCATGATATTATATGCACAGTAGCACATTCAGCACATTTGCATGTAAGCACATAAAAACAAACCATCACATGGAAAGCTAATTTGCACATAGTAGACACATTTACACAGTGTAGGCACATTTGCACAGGTAAAGCACACTAACACATTGACACATCACAGAAAAGAACCAGGTTTGCTAGGCTATACAACGGGTATATCCGCATTCAGGGCTTTCCCACATACAGGTCAGTCTGCCAAAAACAGAGTAGTTCTAGATCTCTGCTTTCCATAACTCCTTCGGCAGGCTGCTCCATATGCGAGCACCCTCAAAACGGAAAGACCTCATGCATGTCAAATGAAACAGTCAGCCTCTTCAAGTCCAGGGTCATAAGTATAACTTACATAGGTGGTGATGATATTTTTTCATCAAGAAAAGTGTTGACAAAACAACTCTGCATTTCCCCCACTCCCCACCATTGTAGATTCCGTGCTTATCAACAATGCACATTGATCTGAGTTGATAAGACAGGACTTTTTCTAAATAGTTATTATGATAGTGATTTGGTGTACTTTATCAAAAACATTAACTTAGGTGCCTACATAATAAAATTCAGTAAATAAAGGGATATAATTATGAGTTTTTACATTTTATAATTTTTTTTGCAGATATGACTTTTTGTCTCATAGGGTTGTCTATATATATATATATATATATAGGTAGTCATGCTTGTAGTAAAAGTATCCAGATCAAGTATTGTCAGCTTGATGTGTCATTCTGTGTTCCGGGTTAGGTTTTCGTAATAAAATGTTATAAAAAGAATATCTTACAGTACCTTCAGTAATACCAAATATATATTTCACTTGTGTGGCTAATATTGTGATAAATATCACTCGTGCTGCATACTCATGAAAGATATCAAAATATTAACCACACTTGTGAAATATATTTGGTATTACTGTAGACAAGTTGTTAGATATCCTCTATATATTCTATGCTATACAGTGAAGCGCCATAAGTCTATCACGTTACACTATTTTCCCATTGGATTCTATGTTATGTTTTTCAAAAAATGTTCCGGACTTCGTTTAACATCCAATTTTGATAAAACTTTTCACCATGTTGAAGAATTATGCAATGTTTCTTATACGATAATTTAACTAGTAAATACCAGCCGCTTCCTACCAACTCAGCTAGGGAGATTTCTCTTTAGCTCATTCGGTAGAGCGTAAGACTAGTAAGCTAGACTTCCCAGGTTCTTCCTCCTAGCAGAGGCGTTGACATAATAATGACCTCTGTTATATTGGTGCCCACATATGGACCCGGAGAGTATTGACAAAAATACTCAGCTATACTTGCATAGGAATCACTTTGACCCCTGGAAAACTCTTGAAGAGTTCTTTCCGGGGCTTGAACCAATGACCTCTTGTTCTCTAGCCCAATGCTCTACTGCTGCGCCAAAAGGAAATTTCCTACAGCTGAGGCTTGTAAGGCAACCTAATTAATGCACATCTTTTACAGTAATATGTATATTGTTATCTGTGGCTTTGTTATTGAGATATCACTTTTTCTCCTAGTGAAAAGGTTTACATGATATTGACATAACTACGAAAGACACAATGCTACATGGGGCAGTCGCCAGTTCCTGGCCGTAGGTTGGTGGTTTTTCTCCGGGAACACCGGCTTTCCTCCACCACCAAAACCTGGCACGTCCTTCAATGACCCTAGCTGTTAATAGGACGTAAAACAAACAAACCAAACCACATGTAATATTTTCAATACTAATAACCAGTACTGCAATTGTTGTTTTCCAGAGAGAAAAAAACATGGAAAGGCACTTCAGACACTCATCACAACCACTCCTCCAACAAATGGAAATAAGGAGACACAAGTTATGGTTGCATTGGCCCATCACCTGTTCTCACAATTAATACCAGGCAAGATGTATGAAGTTGATGAATATGCAAAGCAAGTTCCAAAAGAATGTGGCTGTGGTTGTAAGGCCAGAATTTCTGAAGGAAACACTTCAGTAGGTAAGCTCTTTTTGGTTCAGTTTCATTATTTATGACATCATGGGATAAATCTAGGCTTGATTCACTACTGTTTATGGGTAGTTTCCGCTACAGAAGAAAATTTCCCTGTTCTTGAAATTCCCCCTATGTACTTCAAAATTCCCATATTTGAAAAAAAAAAGAGCCGTTTTTCTTCAAAATATTCACCCTATTTTTATGTTTCCTTTAAAGTTGAACAGTAAAAATACATAATACTGCATATATACCTTTTCTTCACATAGTTTAAACAAAAATTCTACAATTTTAAGGTTAAAATTGTTTATCAATTGAAATATACTGCACACATGTATGTCAGACAAAACATTTATCTTTTACCTTCATGACGCAAGAGTGTCGTATAAAAATTTCAGTTTCAGTTCCTGGAGAGAGGGTAAAGTTTACTGTATTTTATCATTTCATTTTTTCCTGACAATTACCAGCTATACGTATGACATTTGTTGGTCACTCCATTACATCATTTGGTGAGTGAATCCACCGTCAGAAAAAAGGGTTAATGGACTTATTTTGACAGAACTTCATGCTATTTTTGGAACCTTTCTTCAAAGTTTTGATATGTGATGTAACTTGAAGGCAGTACATAAAAATATCCGATAAAATTAGCACTTAGTTTAAAATTAATCATGATAGTATTGAGGGATATTTTTCGTGAACATAGTGAGATGCTTTACCACCCCCTGACACACAACTACAGTAATTATCCTTATATCTGTGAGTACAATGTTCACAGACCTATAATGCAGCTGGTTGATCTTCTTTCAATATAGAAATAATACACAATAAAAGACACAAACATGCATTCACAATGTCTGTGATTATACTACCACAATTGATATAAAATGGTCCCCCGGGCCCCCCTCACTTTAACACACACACACACCCCTTTAATTGGGTTATGAAACTTCTAAGTAAAATTTGGTATGATTTTTGAATGGTCCTTATGTGTACTTAGGCTCCATATGAGTATATCGTTGACACAATTATCTGATATAGAAAAAGGTCATCGGGACCTTCTTTGCTAGTTTTTTTGGGGGCATTGTTAATTCATTTGGCCCAAATAGGTGGTGAGAATTCAAAATTGTACAAACAGTGGGGCTGAACCCCCAGAGGGCTAAGGGATGGGGCAATTGTGTATTGAAGTTGACCTCTGATGTGACCCTTGGTGGGTTGTTGTTAGATTTTCCAGGCAACATATCAATAAATGGGACCAATATGTGAAGATTTAGTTTTAATTAGATTGGGCTGAGGGGTGGGACCAAAAAAGGTTAACTTGGAAATGATTAATATCTCACCCTAAAACCATATATACAATTGCTGAATATAAAGAGGTGAATGCACATATGTGTATCAAATTTGACTTTATAGAGTACACAAATATACGAATCGAACGTATCACAACGTTTCAAGACCATTTGGTCCCTTATCAAGCTATGACTGAGTGAGCTCTTTTCATGTTTAAATGTACAATGATGTGACAACTATTTTGTTTGCTCGACTACCACTTTACCATTAAGATGTTTCTAGTTTGTCCTCAGCGGGGAATCTGAATGACTATGTCCTTGTTTGATAAAATATGTGTAGGAAAAATATGGGTCATCAAAATTCGACTGTCTTACTGCCCTGGTGGTGCCTCCTCCAGTCTATATGCAATGTTTTTATCCCCCGCTTTCACCAAAATGGGGGATATTAATTTGGGTTTGTCCATCTGTCAGTCTGTCACGCTAAAGGGCTCGGCCAAGTTTGACAACCACTTTAATCGGACTCCATTTGGAGGAGTTATGGCCCCTTGATTAACCTCATTATCTGCATTTTCCGCTTAATAACTCTAACAAATATTAGCCAAATTCTTTCAAACTTGATAACAATGTTTGTGTTCCTCTGTTTTTCCACCCATCTCGGACACTCTTTTGTTTTCATGCTAAGTTTGCCAACCGATGTGATTAGTGCATCTTTACGAATAATTAATGAAGTTAATACATTCTGATGAATTAAACGATTATTTATAGAGTAATACCTACATGTTCAATAAAAATTTGAATTACTGTATAAGGCCTTTTTTTCTTTAAGTTTCAAGCTATACATGATGTCTCAACAGCGCGATCGATACTCACATGTTTAAACCTAACCTCGATAATGTTTCTACAATATGTCCTGCAAGTGGGGGATATAAATTCCAAGAACTTGCTTGTTCATATTTATTTTTGACACATGCATTAGGTAACATAGGTGTCAAATGGGTCAAGCATACTACGAAGTTTGCTTAACTAGAATTGCAGAAACGAAAGTAGCTCCCTATATGTCCTTATATGGACTCTTTGACCGTATATGGAATCTGATAACTCCATCTTTATATGGAATTTAATATCTCCTTATATGGGAACTCATGCATTACTCCTATTGGTTTCCGATAACATTTCATTCACAAACTAGTGAAGCCATTTTGTGGTTTATCAAGACCAATTGGTCCCTTTATCAATCTATGACTGAGTGAGCACTTTTCATGTTTAACTGTACAATGATGTGACCACTATTTTGTTTGCTCGACTACCACTTTACCATTAAGATGTTTCCAATTTGTCCTCAGCGGGGAATCTGAATGACTATGTCCTTGTTTGTTAAAATATTTGTATGAAAAATATGGGTTATACAGAAATTGCTGTCCATCATCAAAATGCGACTGTCTTACAGCCCAGGTGGTGCCTTCTTTAGTCTATATGCAATTTTTGTATCTCCCGCTTTCACTGTAATGGGGAATATTAATTTGGGTGCGTCTGTCTGTCAGTCTGTCTGTCTGTCACACTTCGTTCCCATGCAATAACTGCAACAAATGTCAACCAATTTTCTTTTCAAACTTGGTAGACTGCCTTAAGGGCTCAGCCAAGTTTGGTAATCACTTTCAGGGGGCTTTATTTGGCGGAGTTATGGCCCCTTGAATAACGAAAAAATTAATTTTCTGCCGTTTCTGTTCATTAGCTCTCGCAAATATCATCAGATTGTCTTCAAACTTAGTAACATGGTTCAACGCATAAAGGGCGCGGCCAAGATCGACAACCAATAGAATTGGACTCCATTTGGCGGAGTTATGGCCCCTTGATTAACGAAAAACCTCATTATCTGCAGTTTCCTCTTAATAACTAGCAAATATTCTTTCAAACTTGATAACATTGTTTATGTTCCTCTGTCTTTCCACCCATCTTCTGCACTCTTTGGGTTTCATGCTAAGTTTGCCAACCGATGTGATTTGTGCATCTTTACGAATAATTAATGAGGTTAATGAGATTAATTTATACAGTAATACCTACATGTTCAATAAAAAAATCGGTTTCAGATAACATTTCATTCACAAACTAGTGAAGCCATTTTGTGGTTTATAATCCAACGAATAGGCAGAGAAAGCATTCACTTCTAAACTTTCTTATTCATACAGGGTCACAGGGAACATGGCATGGTCGAGTAGATATCCTCCTGAGCCACACAATCGCTGTAGCAATGGCAAAGAGACAAACAGGAAAGGAAGAAGAAGGTGAAGAGGAGGAAAATCTTGATACAGATGCAGAGGAACCTGTGGAACGTGACGGTGTTCTCCTGGATCAAAAAGTCTTAAATCAGATCTTAGCTGAAGCTATAACAAATGGATTTGCTCAAGCTAACATGCATAAGGATACATTATCACATTTCTTGATTCCAACTTTTGGAACCACATCAGACCATGTTACTATTTGTCTGTATGACTGAAAATGACTACTTACTGCACATCAAGGAAGAACTAACATTATGGAGTCCAGGTGAGACAGCTGATCAGCTAAATGTAACTACCATAGTTGTCATTTGGCTTTTCTTGAACTTTACTATTTTTACTAAGAAAAATCTGCATGCTAAAGTTGATCTTGACAAGTCAGGATTACATGAAGAATTGAAGGAGCGTCTGGAATATTACAAAAAGGCAGAAACAAAAGGAGATTTTGTTTCACCAGCATCTGTTGCATTGCTGTGGAAACACATCCAACCGACCAACAAAAGCCCAAAGAACTGAGTCTGAAATGATCCCTGAGACCGTTGATTTTACATCAGGTGACCTTCAGACAGATGTTCTGTGTATTATCATAGCAACTTGTTTGACTGTAAGCTTATAGCTTAAAAGGTATATGTGTACAGTGTTGGAAACAAGTACAGACACTGTTATACATGTTACAGTAGCCCACTTCTGGGGTCTTTACGAATACCCACATTGTTATACTTGTTACAGTAGCCTGGGACAGGGGTCTATACGAATACTGACACAGTCGCACGTGTACAGTGTTGGAAACAAGTACAGACACGGTTATACATGTTACAGTAGCCCACTTCTGGGGTCTTTACGAATACCCACATTGTTATGCTTGTTACAGTAGCCTGGAACAGGGGGCTATACAAATACTGACACAGTCGCGCAATTGTACAGTAGCCTGTGGCTGGGGGCTATACGAATACTGACACAGTTATACATGTACAGGAGCCTGTGACTGGGGCCTATACGAATACCGACACAGTCACACGTGTACAGTAGCCCGTGTCTGGGGCCTATACGAATACCCACATTGTTATGCTTGTTACAGTAGCCTGGAACAGGGGTCTATACAAATACTGACACAGTCGCACAATTGTACAGTAGCCTGTGGCTGGGGCCTATACGAATACTGACACAGTTATACATGTACAGTAGCCTGTGACTGGGGCCTATACGAATACCGACACAGTTATACATGTACAGTAGCCTGTGGCTGGGGCCTATACCAATACTGACACAGTCGCACATGTACAGTAGCCTGTGGCTGGGGCCTATAGGAATACTGACACAGTTATACATGTACAGTAGCCTGGGGCAGGGGCCTATACCAATACTGACACAGTCATACATGTACAGTAGCCCGCGGCTGGGGCCTATACGAATACCAACACGGTCATACATGTTATAGGAGCCTGCCGCTAGGGCCTATGTCAATACCGTAATACATGAAATGCCATTTATGACATGTACATTGCAACTATCATTGAAATGAACTTGAATGTAACTGCATGATATTTGTGTGTATGTGTATATGAGTTAATGAATAAATGAATGCCAAATTTTGAAGATGTATTATCTTATTTCTTTTTCTTAGATCTGAACCGTTAAAGTTTATTTTTCTTTGAAGAATTTCAGCGACAGTGTGATTAAGTTCTTGTTCACTTGAAAATGTGATGCAAGTATAAAATTTATGTAATGAACTCCATCCATTAGTGTCAATATCTTTGACTATGTATAACTGGATCAGCATGAATTAATCTTTAATATCATCAAAGGGAGATAAAGATCAATTCATGCAGATACAGTTATACATAGTCAAAGATACTAACACTGATGGATGGAGTTCATTACATACTTCCTTACCAGTGCTTGCTTGGGATTGCTTTTCAGGTCCGAAGGTAAAAGGTCACTGTAACTAAGGTGAAAGGTCACTGTAACTATAGATAGAAAACCTGTTTCCATGTGATTACTTGAGTTTCTTTAGGTCCATCGAGCTCAGACTTCATACAGTGTTCTCTTACCTTAAGTGCTTACTTGGGATTGCTTTTCAGGTCTGAAGGTCAAAAGTCAAGGTCACCGTAAATGGAAAATCTGTTTCTGTGTGATAACTTCAGTTCCTTAGATTTGATTAAATCAATCTTTTTAAGGTGCTTCTTTACTAAAAGTGCTTGCTTGGGATTGCTTTTCAGGTTTGAAGGTCAAACGTTAGGTCACATTACTATAAATAGAAAATTTGTTTCTGTGCAATAACTTAAGTTTTTTGCGCTGATCGAGATCAGACTACATACAGTGCTTTCTTAAACCTTTAGTGTTTGCTTGGGATTGCTTTTCAGGTCTGAAGGTCAAAAGTCAAGGTCACCGTTACTATAAATGGAAAATCTGTTTCTGTGTGATACCTTGAGTTCCTTAGATTTGATTAAATCAATCTTTTTAAGGTGCTTCCTTACTAAAAGTGCTTGCTTGGGATTGCTTTTCAGGTTTGAAGGTCAAAAGTTAGGTCACATTACTATAAATAGAAAATTTGTTTCTGTGCAATAACTTAAGTTTCTTTACGCTGATCGAGATCAGACTACATACAGTGCTTTCATACCTTTAGTGTTTGCTTGGGATTGCTTTTCAGGTCGGAAGGTTAAAATTCAAGGTCACTAGAAAATATTTTTCCGTGCAATAACTAGAGTTTTTTGGAGTTGCATACAGTGCTCCTTTACCAATATTTGTTACTACAATTAGAAAAACTGTTTCCATGTGATAATTAAGTCCAGTTTCCTTGGGCCAAACAACCTCAAAACTTCACACTGGCTGTTATTCCATGGAATTTCTGATGTTTAAGCCGAAACTTTTCTCTCGCTAAAAGCGCTAAACGGCTTTTTTTCACATTACGTGGAAGCAATTGCAGGTTGTTAGAAGATGGTTATATTACAATTAGCACTTGTTATTAAGACCCCAAATGTTTTGATTCATAACTCTGCTGCCAAAATCCTTTCCAAAACGTGTTTAGCTCAAGTAAGCTTATGCCATGGTGCAGCGTCTGTCCGTTCGCCGTCAACTTTTTACTTTAAACAACTTCTTCTGAATAACCAAGAGGCCCAGGCTAATGATATATGGCCATTAGAATGCTGGGATGAAGGGCTACCAAATTTGTTCAAATGAATTACCTTTGCCCAATTTCAAGGTCACAGGGGTCAAATATGTTAAAATCTTTAAATAACTTCTTCTGAAACACCAGAAGGCTCAGGACGATGATATTTGGCCAACATTATGCTGGGAATAAGGGCTATTTTCAAATGAATGACCTTCACATATATTCAAGGTCACAAAGGGGTGAAATGTGTTGAAGCTTTTAAACAACTTCTGCTAAATAACCAAAAGCTTCAGGGTGATGATATTTGTCCAGTAGTATGCTGGGATGAAGGGCTACCAAGTTTGTTCAAATGAATGACCTTCGCCCATATTCAAGGTCACAGGGGTTATTTGTCTTAAAATCACTTAAAAACGACTTCTTCTGAATAACTAAAGTGTCCAGGGTGATTGCTTGTTCATGTGAATGACCTTGACACACTTTTAAGGTCACATCTGGTCCACAGTGCATAAATCTTAAAAGTCATCTTCTCAGTAAACAAAAGGTATAGGGCCTTTATAGGGTGGTGATATTTGACAAGTTGCATTCTGGGACGAATGCTATAAAGTTTGTTCAATTCAATGTCAATGTTTGACTTTCAAGGTCATAGGGGTCAAATGTGTTTAAATCGTCTGAATGACTAAAGTCAAGACACTGATAGTTTGCCTGTAGCTTTATTTTAGTCCACTTTTAAGGTTACAATTGTGAGATTAATACCAGGTGAGCGTACCATGCTCTTGTTTCGAAACTGCGGTGAATTTTAACGAAAATTGGTACAAGTGTTTAATGGCATAATGTGGTGTGCAAGAGACTTCTTATTTTCCGATCGGTAAAAAAGCATGGCCACACCTACCTCAATTATAATTTCATGAAATTTCTCCAAAACTTTTTCCAGATCTCAACGCTCAATAACTTTTAAAGAAATTAATATTTTTACCAACTTTCAAGGTCACAGGGTTCAAAATTATGAAAACCATTTTAAACAACTTCTTCTAAATAACCAGGAGGCCCAGATTACTAATACTTTGCCAGGTACCTGGTACCTGGCATGACGTGCTATAAAGTTGCCTAAAAATGACCTTGACCTACTTAAAAGATAACAAGGATCAAATGTGTTTAAAACCATTAACATCGTCTTCTAAATAATAAGGAGGTTCAAAGCACCGAAAATTGGCCAGTAAGTTATCCATGTCAACGGATGATTACTGATGAAAAAACAGACATAGGGAGAAACAAGGATGTAATAACATACCAATGATGTCCTTGACTGTTGACTAGGTTGAATTGTCAAGTTTGCACGGTTACCCTGTGTGTTAAAACACATCAACGTATCCCGAGTAAATGACAAGGACGCGTTTTGAAGTACGTGCTGTCATTCACGTCAGCCTAGTGACCGATTACAGATTTAGGGAGAAACAATGACGTCATTCTCTGCGAACGAAGTTAAGCTCTAAAAATGTATCGATATATGGTTCATGTTGTCATATATACTACGATAAAGATTGCCTTATCAAAGCCATATAAGCGTGATTAAGAAGTGCGTTCTTTCAGATCGATGCACAATACCTTTTGAGTAAACATACTTAGGGAGAAACAAGGATGAACAAACATTCCTTTTGTCATACATTTTGATCGAGGTTTATTTGTAAAGTTTGCACGAATACGGTACACTATGTCTAACACTACAATATACATCGCCCAAGTCAATGCTTAATAAGCGTTAATAAGAAACTGATTCCATTCACGTCAATGGTTTGGTTTGGTATTGTTATCATATTAAGTAATCTGAGTTCATAGTCACTTCCCAGTTGAATACTGGAGTTTTTGCCCAAACCTTTCGCCTGGTCTCCAGAAGTTGTCTGCTCCCTACCGTCTGACAAGTTAAATTCTTGGGGCTTGGGTATTTACCGGAATGGACCGGAATGGAGTTGATTTACTGAAACGGAGAGAAATGGGCTTTAAATTACCACAATTTCAAAAGAATGGACACCAGTATATGCATTCTTCATCACCAACTAGATTAATATGCAAAATATTGGGCATGTATTTCATTTACATCTATTTAAAAAAAAAATTAAAAAAATACGCAATTGACAGCACGATGTCGTTAACCGAAATTGAGGGCAACTTGCCTTTAATTGGCATTATTTCAAGAGAATGAACCTACATGTGCTTTTTTATAATCCACTTGGGTTGGGACATGTGTTAAAGATTGGGAGTTGTCTTTACCCAATACAAGTTTTCTAAAGATTTAAAATCACGCAGTTTAGACTGATTTACCGAAACGGACGGAAATGTGCCATAAATAAGCAAAAGGTTAATTTTCAAATAGCACAGTTAGGCCTAGCGCACAGCATCGAATTCTGTAAACATAAAGTAAGTAATTATCCGAAAAACGAAATCCAGATTTGTTTTTTAAGGGAAAATAATGATAATTTTGATTAAATGATATGTTCAAAGGAATTTTTAGTATATATGCCTAATTTAAAAAGGTATCCAGTTTATTTAAATTTTCAATGTTGTATACTTGTTATAAGTTTGATAAAAAAAAGTCCTGACTGAAATCATTTTTGTACCATTAAGCAGTCCAGATTGAAATATGTGGTTATATACTGGAGATCAACACATTCATAATTCGTTTGTCCTTGCTGAATAAGGAGAGTACTTAATTTTGAACTTATAGAGGTATTTTTTTTAAATTATTCAAAGATTAGCTTTGAGAATCATCAAGAAGATAGAAATATTTTTCAATGTACATGATGTGTAAAATAAAGTTCATGGTACTTTTGAAAACTTCTGAAATATGGATGTATTGGTTGGCTATTATACATGCCATATGTTGCAAATATGGTTGTTTATTTGTCCATAGATTATTTAAAGCTCCACAATATATATTTTTTAATTGAGCTCTACGTCCAATCAAAAGCTTTGGTCATTTAAGGACGTGCCATGTTTAGGTGGTGGAGGACACGAGTACCTTGCTATAATTAAGGAAGTACTCCTGAATCTTGATATTTGAAGTCCACACAATTCATAAGTTATTTTTGAAAGAAATCCCCAAAACCATATCAATCCCAGATAACTAATAGTATGATACCAAAACTGTGTATGGTATACTAGTATTAACACATAAGATCACTTCAAGCCCAGTTGTTCTGACCTGATTTTGTGCATTACCGATGCCTTTGTAAGTTGGCTATGCTAAATAATAGCTTATCGCATTATTTATAAGAGTCTTACTCTTAATGTCATTTTTCATGACAATTTAAGCTGGAAGCGCCCTGCAGACTTACTCTACAAAATGAGCAGATACAGATGTATGTAATTTGCATCTGGAAAAACAACGCATACTTGAATGTATATTTTGCTACCTGTATTTGTTTTTCTCAGTTTATTGAAATCTCTTAGATAACGTTAAATAATAAATATACGTCATGTTAATCTCTACAATAACCACTGCTACCACAATCAGATACCACATAGTATAACGACTTTGAAATGGTACATATCTGTTAAATATTTACAGATTTTTGCACAAAACAAGATCGGGTCTCCGCTAATAAACTACCGGTAATTATATTTGTTATGTTTTATTTTTTTCTGTAACATTGCCTGGAATAATCTTATGTTGATCTAACACTCTAGAGATCGGGGGAAAAAGATTGTAAAAGATGTTTTGTGCAAAAGAAACTTGTAACTGTCATTCTTGGTATAATTGACTGTATATTGATATGAAAAGGTAGTAAATTGCAAACATGGACATTTGAATTAAGTACCCAGCAAATTAACTCTATCAGTTATATATGTTAATCTATGAAGACGCAAGTGCTGTGAAATAGCATAACATGCATATAAATCAAACATTCTTATTAATGTATATACATTAAATTTAGTGTGAAATCTTCATTTTTTTTTTTATCAAATTCATAGGTCAACCGGGACCTCCCAGTAAAATATGGGTTAATCTATATTCTGAAAAGGAGTATAAATATATACTAAATTCAATATTTCAAATTGAAGCAATAATACGCACCACAAATCGACATAATTATCTCGTTATAGCGCGTTATTGTTATCCCATAAAATGCAATAATTATTCGTTATAAAGCGTTAGTTACTTGCATCACCTTAAACCGCGCTAATCATCTCGTTATATTTACCATCGAATGGCATTGCCACTATATAACCCTGCCAAATTAAGTTGGCATTTATATAGGCTATGAATGCCATATGGACCGATTGTTGACGTCGTCATTATTATGACGTCATAATTGTTTCATTTGATACTACTGACCATCCCTGGGCGACTGGTGTTCTATTTAATGAACAAGCATACACGATACATACATTATTTAAACTAAATACCAAATAGCAATAAGTGTAATTGATTTTTTTATGAGATGAACAGATTCCAAAAATGGTAAATATAAGTATTGAACTGCTTTCAATTGTCATTTATAGGCAATATGAATGCCTTTGCAATACAGCATGCCAACTGAAAGCAGTCCAATGCTTAAATAATGCGATATTTTATCTCGTTAAAACGAGATATATACGTGTCATATGCATGCGACACATGTATGGCAGAAAGTTCGTACATTATCTTCTTCACAAACAGTAAATCTTCGATGCATAGTGTCCCCCGTTTCATTTGCTGCCTCGCTTACGGCTTATAATATCCATGGTCCCTTTTTCTGAAGAATTTCTTTATATTTTTATTCGTCAGCACTCACTCTTTGATAAATGGAGGCAGTATAACGAGGTATATGCGCGTGTTACTGGACATTGATGTAGTCGAATATGGAGGTAAGTTACATCACGAATTAGATGCTATCTAAGCCCGTGGTTACATACAGGACGAGAATTAGTGTACTTAATAATTGAACTGCCTTGTGACAGCTTTTCAGTCAGTGCCTATATGTCGTCGGGAATTACAAATATGTATTTGTGTTATTTGATAAATTAGATCATATATAATTTCTTCACTTTTTTTTCACATGAATCCGTCGGAAAACAGAAAAGCTTCCTGATTTTAAACAAAGTTCATTGCTCAAAAGCTTAGCTTAAGTTAAAATTTTAGCGCGTTGCAATGAAAGTATTTGAGGACAGAAGCCAAGCGTCAAGCTTGAGCATGAGAATATTTTCATAGATAGGTAGGGGTCCATGATAGCAAGTCCGAATTATTCTGACGTTTTATCGACTTTTTTATATCGGTCTGTCGTCGATTAACGACAGACCGATATAAAAAAGTCGATAAAACGTCAGAATAATTCGGACTAGATAGCAACATGACCGGAAATAATTATCACGTTTTAACGCGGAGATAACTAATAACTTCTCCAGTGGGTTGTTGCGATGTCACTAATTTCAAATAGTTATAACTCGCTCAAATTTAAAGATTGTTTCATCACTCCTTGGTATTTACATTCGTATTGTTACAAACGATGCAAAATATATAGTTGTAATGGTGTATAAGTGAAGACAAACGCCCGGGCGGTTAATATATCACTACCGGGCTTTACTGGACTCTACCGGGCTATGCCGGGCTCTACCGGGCTGTAATTAGTCGCACCCGAAATCTCCGACAACAACATGGCGGGGAAAAGACCCAGTGATTTAAGTGGAGAAAACCTATCATTTTGCTCACATCCAAAGCAAGTGCAATGCAGAGTCGATCGTTGTACTTCACCTGCTGGACATATTCACGAAACTTTCAATTCCGAACGAGCCTACGTATGTCTTGGAGGACTGACACCTTTGCTTGATCAGAAATTTAAACGTACGTTTATGAAAATAAACCCAGTGAAGGTGCTCAATAACAATGCTTCTGATGGTGCTTCGTTTTCAGATGCATACTGTAGTGTAGATTTCTACCCTGAAGCATATCCAGTCGCTCTCATTTTTCAGAAGGGTCTGCAAATTCTGCTTGACTACTTTATAAACAATGAAAGACCTGAAGATGTTGTACAAGCGCACTCTTTAGAAGTTTTACTTCATTTTCTCGACAGTGCTTACTTCACAGAGGAAGGTATGGTATGGTTAAATATTTGAAACCCGATGCTAACAAACCATAACTCCAAAACTTGATTTAATAATGAAATGTTGATGGATTAAATCCAGTTGCACAGGTGTTTGAAATTCTGACTGTAAATTGAGATAAAAATCATACAAAAAATACGGGTATACAACAGAGACATATAAAGCCAAAGATTGGCAACTCGCCCAGATCTTGATCGCTAACGCACGCTTTCAAGTGCCTATTGTTCTTGGAGATCCGTTGCGAGACTTGGGCTGCAGTCGCCCATTCCGTCTTTGCATATTGCAGAGTTATCTTCTCTTGGGAGCAGGTATTGATTGTTACGTCACTTGTTTTGAGAAAACGATGTAATTTTCTCGCACAAACCAATGATGTAACAATCAATACCTGCTCCCAAGAGAAGATAACTCTGCAATACGCAAAGACGGAATATAAGTGGTATCAGCTTTCGTTTATGTATCAACTCCGTTTTTTCAAGACGGTCAATTTTAAATATGTTCGGTGATTTATATTCTACAATATTTTTTGTGCTGTGCTTGTTTGATTCAGCTTTGTGAAATAACAAAATGTACCCCTTTCTCAACCACAAATGAGTTTAAGTCGTAGGTTTTCTTTCTTTAATATGTTTATTCCATAGACAAGAGCCTGCAACACAAATAACGCATTGCAGGTAATCACATACAATGTATAAATGAGAAATGGAATACATATGAAATAGACATTGTGAAATATGAGTAATGATATCTACAATGACTTACCAGGAGACAGCCGGGATCAGTGAAGGGTAATACGTCTGCTCTGTGAGGTGTCGTATCATTGAGTCACGCCACGTATACAGGTGCGGGGACAGGTAAATATCTCGCGCATGCGCGTCTCGCTCACCATGCACGTACATACGCGTACATGGGGACACGTACGCTTACACCTGGTTACAAAAAAATTGCTAAATTCATCTGAGAATATTTTTAATTTTGTGAGAAGTCATCACTGGCAGCCATTACATTATAATACAGAGAAAAAAAGGCAAGGTTTTGTTTAAACTTCATTTTTTCTAGACGGTCAATTTTTAAAATGTTTGGTGATTTATATTCTACATTCTAACACGATTCGTTTACAACGTTTGTTTTGATTGGATACAGACCATGTTCTAATCTGCGATAGAATCATGATCAATCGTGTTAAGCTCCTCCCATCTCACTTAAGCCACGCCACGTTTCTAACCAAAACAATATGGCAACAAGCTCGCCTTTTAGCAAAACCCGCTGATAAGGCTAGCAGGCAACAGAACAGAAATGACCTATGAAATGTATTTGTTGAATGAATTAAAAAAAGTAAAAAGTAAACACTTCCTTGTTCTTCAAATGACCGAGTTTTGAAAGCTTCTTTCCGATTGGTCAGTCCGCTGCAGAATGACACGTCACCAGTTCAGGTCACAAAGTACTTTACTATGTACTTTTGTACAAGAAAATACACTGTTTCTAAACATATTAGCGTAGTATATTTGTTAAGGTGTGTTAGAATGGGGATAGTACATTGTTTTTTGTGTCTATACTGGCGATTAGAACATGTAATTTGATTTAAACTCTCGACCTATCGGTCACGAGTTCAAACCAAATTTCATGTTCTAATCGCCAGTATAGCCACTCAAAACAACGTACTATCCCCTAAATATATTTTATGTTGCGCTTCTTAGATTCAGCTTCGTGAAATAACTACGACATTGCTAAATTCATCTGAGAATATACCGTGATTTCAGAATGAGAAGTCATCACTGGCAGCCATTACATTATAATACAGAGAGAAAAAAAAGGTTTTCGTTTAAACTCTGTTTTTTTAAGATGGTCCATTTTAAATCGGTTCAGCGATTAAATTCTATAATATTTTATTGTTTTTCTTCTGATATATTGACTTTATAAAATATTTGAATATTAATTGACATACCGTAATAAAGTGTTAAGAGTATAAAAGCTTATAATTGGACACTCGTACCTGACCCAAGTAACCCCTGGGTGGAGGTCATCACAGGTTTGAAGGTGACATACCAGTGAAGAGATCTTACGGGAGCTGAACTAAGGGAGGCAGGTGCGGATAGGAGTAAAAGCCTTAGGGGATTGGTACTAGTAATTGTAATCTTACTCCTTTGGCTAATTAAAATTCTAGATAAAGGTTCACGACATATTGACATACCCTGCCAAACTCACACCTGCACTCATCACAGGGTAACAATCATAATTTGTATGTACACTCACTAATTATAGTCGCCCTCATATCACAATGTGCATTCTTTACCCACGGATTTCTTAAATTCATAAAAATCTATTTCAGTATAAAGATGGACTTCTAAATTAAGGACAACAGTATAAAATATTGATAATTAAATTATGTTGAAAAAGGCCTTCTAAGAAATATCTAAATTTAACATACAAATATTCGATGGCAAGTAATGGCCACCGTAATTTGTGTTTCGGAAATCCTCTAAAGATATTGTAGGCCGTTGCAATAAAATTGATGTCGTCCAAATAGACTACCCGACACGGGTGCTCTTCGGTATGAGAAAGAGGCAGTTTCCAATCTCTGTAGTATATACATCTCCAGTCTCTTGGGTATATAATATAGGAATACGCTTATTCTTTATATGATTTTTATATCTCAATTTAAAGTCAGAATTTCAAATACCTGTGGAAAATGCTTTAAATCTCGAGAATGCATGATGGCATGTATTTTCATTGGATATTTTACAACAATACTTGAGCTAACAAAGCTATTGATACTTAGTGAGAACCTGTAGTGTTTTGAATGGTGTAACAGGTAACATCTCACTTACTTTGCATGTTTTTATCCAACGTCAGTCAGCCTGGTTGGCTCAGTTGTGATTTATTCAGTGGAAATGATATACAGTTGAAACTCGTTATCTCGAACTTTTATAAATCGAAGACCTTGTTTATCTCGAAGTATTTCTCCGGTCCCAGCCAAATCTCTTCTTTATCTTAATAAATAAAACTCTGATAATTTGAACCCTGAAAACCCGAAAAAACTCTGATACCTCGAAGTAAAATATTGGTTTCAACAGCGTAAATCCAACATCAAAATAAATGTCTACTTAATAGTGTTGGAATTTCATTTCGTCACTTATTTATTCTTTGATACAAATAAAATGCAAAACTACAGCATCTCACAATTTCCTGTTTATGAACATCTGTCGTAAGTAGACTAGCATGAAATCTGTAACAATAACTTACGATAAAGCTGAAGACTAAAGTGTGCGGATTGTCAAAACCACGTTGTTCATAATATTTAAATACAAACTTCATCAGTGTTGATCAACAGTACGCAGTATCTGTACTGCAAGTTCGTTCAATGATTTGTACACCCAAACTGACGATAGTCCAAACCGGAAAATTGGTCAAAAAGTGTGGTCATGCATAAAAGAGTTCCAGTACAGTTAAAATCACAACCTAGGACAGGTTCATGTTTTTACAGGAGCCAACTAGTATGACTTTGAAAGTCGATCGAAAGATTTTAAGAACAATACAATAATTGCTGTTCATTAAATTAAGTTGAGGAAGTGTCAGGTGTCGCATTTGGCTTTAATGAGTCAATGTGTTACATGTACAATAGAATCTGTTTGTGTGTGTGTTGTAATTTTAACTATGCATACACCCCATTACAGTGATTTGTTTTAGACTTGCACACTTTCATTTCCGCATTGTATAGTACGAGGTCGGAGACAGCGGGATTATAAGTTCGATTTTAAATGCAACACTTCAGAGGTAAAACTTGACCGACTTGCAAATTACAAATGCAGACCTGGAAAGACTTTGCCAAGACTAACTACCCTAGCCTGTCCATGTCTCTGATCTCGTAGTTTACAATGCGGAAATGAAAGTGCGCAAGGCTAAAACAAATCACTGTAATGGAGCGTACGCATAGTTTATTCTGTAAATGAAAACACACAAACAAATTATATCGTACATGTGACACATTGATTCATTAAAGCCAAATATGACACCTGACACCTCCTCAACTCGATTTAATCAACAGCAATTATTGTTTTGTTCTTAAATCTCTCGATCAACTTTCAAAGCCATACTGGCTCCTGTAAAAACATGAACCCGTAAAGCTGTCCTAGGTTGTGATTTTAACTGTGGAACTCTTTTATGCATGACCACGCTTTGTGACCAATTTTCCGGTTTGCACTGTTGTCTGTTTAGGTGTACAAATCATTAAACGGACTCGCAGTAAGTACAGATTACTGTTGATCAACATTGATGCAATTTGTTTTCTATTATGAATAACATGGTTTTGACAGTCCGTAAACTTTACAGTCGTAAGCTTTATCGTAAATTCTTTTTTACTGATTTCATACTAGTCTACTTACGAAAGATGTTCATAAACACGGAATGGCGAAATGTCGTACTTTTGCGATTTATTTGTATCAAAGAATTAACAAGTGACAAAATGAAATTTGGATACTATGTTGGATTAACGCTATTGAAACCAATATTTTACTTCGAGGTATCCGAGTTTTTCGACTTTTCAGGGTTCAAATTATCAGAGTTTTATTTACTAAGATAAAGAACAGATTTGGCCGGGACCGGAGAAATACTTCGAGATAAACGGGGTCTTTGAGTTAAAAGAGTTCGAGATAACGAGGTTCGACTGTATGTAGTAAATAGATATAATTCTTCACTTTGTTATATTGTAGATTCTTCAATGGAAGGCATGAATGAGAAATCGGAAACAGACATCACTATATTCTTGGCTAATCATTTTTTCGGAAAGTTGTCTCTTACTTCAAAGTATGTCATTGATGGGCAATCAAAAGGAAAGCGTAAAGGAAATGCCTGTTCCTGTTCCCAAGACGGCTGCAAAATGACTGGGGTGTTTGGAGATACAAGTATTGGTAAGTCATTTATAGGTCACAGTCATCAGCCAGGTGACATATTGGGATCATCTTAAGCTTTCATCCGTCATGCCACATGTGTTGTGCATTATCCATCATGCATAATGAATAAAGTTTCCTCAAGTGAATGACCTTGATCTCGTTTTAAGGTCACATATAAGTTGAAATCTTTGAATAACTTCTTAATAATTAAAAGGCCGATGAATATGATCCTTGGAAAGTAGCATGGTCTGCAGAAGAACTACAGAGTTTATTCAAATGAATGACCTTGACCCACTTTCAAGGTCAGTGAGGTGAAAAATCTTGAAGTCTGTAAACAAGACCTTTTGTATAACCAAAAGACTGAGAGTATTGTTATTTGGCCAGCAAGTAAGTTGGGACAAAGCCCTACTAAGTTTCTTTAAATGAATGACCTTGTCCAACTAAAAATGTCGCTGCAGACAAAAATGTTAAAGGCCTTACATGTACACCACTTCTCTTATATATTACGAATATGCCCAGGGTCTTCGGTCATCATATTTAGGTTGAAACTTAATTTAGTGCATTAAAATATATTTTACCTTGATCCACTTTTAATTATGGTTACAAGTGTGAAATGAATACCAGGTGAACGTTTCAAGCCCATTTGGTCTCTTGTAGATCTATGAATGACATAATCTCAATAACCAATAGGCCTATACATTATGTAGGTTCTAGGCTCGCGCTACGCATTCGCATTGTATCAAAATGTGAATTCAAACACTAATATGCAAAAAATATATCACATAGAATAGCAATCTTTGCCAGTATACGTACTGCTGAACGTATCAATTTAGACAAGTGTTTACACTGCAAGGTCCCTTTCGTATCCGAGGCATTCTTGTGCTTGAATATAATACTCCCTTGCCTGCTAAGCTTCAAGCGTTTTACCGATGTTGATTACATTTTACCACATGCTTAAAATGGTGACGCTCGATGCAGACGCGTTGTCTATATGCCTGATACCAGACAGCCATAAACACTTTACGGCAGTCAAGGCTGAGGGTGACGGGAATTGTCTTTACAATTCCATTTCTATATGTTTACATGTTGAGTGATATACATAAATGAATTAAAGCAGTTTTGATATTGTCATCTTGCACTTGAAAAGGACTACAACATTTTTAGGTCACCTGAGACAAAGTCTCAAGTGACCTATTGCGATCGCCTTTTGTCCGTCGTCCCCATGGGCCTGAGGGGCGGGGCCAAAAAGGGTAAAATTGACTAAAATTTCAAAAATCTTCTTCTCAAGATCCAGATATGATAGAATCAAATACTCTTCATAGATGGAAGGGTCTTAAGGTGCTTTACCAAATTTGAAAATTTCATGGCCCTGGGGTCTCACGTTTCCCCCTGGGGAGGGGGTAAACTTTACTATAGTTTATATAGGGAAATCACATTTTGGACTAACATTTGTTTAATTGCCATTGGAAGTAATTCAATTTAGGTTAGCATTATCAGTATTGGATAGCAGTTTGATGGTATGCACATATGAGCCCTGACTGACCCCCCGGGGCTGATGGGTATGCCAAAAAGGGTTGAATTGACTGAAATTTCAAAAACCTTCTTTTCAAGACCCAGATATGGTAGAATCAAATACTCTTCATAGATGGAAGGGTTTTTAGGTGCTCTACCAAAATTTTGAATTTTTTGACCCTAGGTTCTGACGTTTACCCCTGGGGAAGGGGGGGGGGGCAAAATGTATGGCAAATGATACTTTGAATATTACATGGTGATAACTTGATTGGAATTATAACCCTAAGTTGTCAGTTTGATACTTTGAAAATTTTGAGCCATCCCTACCCCCAAGGGCTGTAGGGTGGGGCCCAATGGAGTCTGTGTGCTAAAATAAAATTTCTTCATTTTTCTTGTTTAGAATCAGATTAGTTTCAAATACTTTTCAGTCTTAAATCTGCATGCTAGATATTGAATAAGGTGGTTTTATTGTTTTTTGTCACTTTGAATAATATTTCTGTTAATGTTAAAAACAAAAATCAACTCCCTGTATAAATATATCAGGTGACCGTAAGGCCCATGGGCCTCTTGTTTAGCTTACCTGCCTGAAGTGCAAGTGAGCTTATGCCCAATAAACTTTGCAAATAAGAATCACCTTGACCTACATGTATATTCAAGGTCACAGTGGTCAAATATGTTAAAACCTTCTAACAAATTCTTCTGGAGAATGGAAATTCCCAGAATCATGATATAGGGCTAGTAGCTTCCTGTGAGAGAGCCCAATAAAGTTTGAAGAAAAAAAATGACCTTGACCTATATTCGAGTTTACAGGGGTCAAATGTGTTAAAACTTTCAAATGACTTCTCCTGAAGAATGGGTAGTCCAAGAATCATGTTATTGGGCTGGTATGTAACTTTCTGTGATATAACCCAACAAAGGTTCCCCTAGGTCCTTAGTTGTGCATATTTACTTTTGAAACTGATCAGATAAACAAAATGGCCGACCGACAGCCATATCTTCAATTTTTTACATTGAAGGTTTGTTAGTACTATTTCTCAGGAATAACTTGAGGGATTTTTCTTAAATTTGGTATGTAGGTTCCCCTTGATCCCTCGTTGCGCATGTTATATTTTAAAACTGATCATAAAAACAAAATGGCTAAAGGAAGAACTAAACAGATCTTTCTCAATTGCAATGATTGATTTTATTTCTTTCCTATTAGGTACTGTACTAGTAAATATGTGAACTGACAAACTTACTTTGAAGGTTGTCTTTCATACACCTCAGTATTACGTTTAGATAAAAAGTTACCTCAAAGTGCATTTACTGTCAACATGATTCGATCAAACATATAATAGAGAAAAGAAGAGAAAAGATTGAACTGACAAAGAACTAATGAGGATGGTACAATGGTGGGCGCCAAGATCCCTCTGGGATCTCTTGTTTATAATCCTGTGAATGTCTCACAATCTGTAGTCTATACAATTTACTTATAATCCTGTAAATGTCTCATACTCTGTCTAGATATTTTACTTATATATAATTCTGTGAATAAATGTCTCACAATCAGTTGTCTAGACATTTTACTTATATAATTCTGTGAATTAATGTCTCACAACTGTACTCTAGACATTTTACTTATATATAATTCTGTGAATTAATGTCTCACAATCTGATGTCTAGACATTTTACTTATAATCCTGTAAATGTCTCACAATCTGAAGTCTAGACATTTTATTTATAATCCTGTAAATGTTTCACAATCTGTAGTCTAGATATTTTACTTATAATCCTGTGAATGTCTCACAATCTGTAGTCAACATTTTACTTATAATCCTGTAAATGTTACACAATCTGTAGTCTATACAATTTACTTATAATCCTGTGAATGTCTCACGATCTGTAGTCTAGACATTTTACTTATATAATTCTGTGAATTAATGTCTCACAACTGTACTCTAGACATTTTACTTATATATAATTCTGTGAATTAATGTCTCACAATCTGATGTCTAGACATTTTACTTATAATCCTGTAAATGTTACGCAATCTGTAGTCTGTACATTTTACTTATAATCCTGTGAATGTCTCACAATCTGTAGTCTAGACATTTTACTTATAATCCTGTGAATGTCTCACAATCTGTAGTCTATATAATTTACTTATAATCCGGTAAATGTCTCACAATCTGATGTCTAGACATTTTACTTATAATCCTGTGAATGTCTCACAATCTGTAGTCTATACAATTTACTTATAATCCTGTGAATGTCTCACAATCTGTAGTCTATATAATTTACTTATAATCCGGTAAATGTCTCACAATCTGTACTCTAGACATTTTACTTATAATCCTGTAAATGTTGCACAATCTGAAGTCTAGACATTTTACTTATAATCCTGTGAATGTCTCACAATCTGTAGTCTATACAATTTACTTATAATCCTGTGAATGTCTCACGATCTGAAGTCTAGACATTTTACTCATAATCCTGAAAATGTCTCACAATCTGTTCTCTAGACATTTTACTCAATCTGTACTCTAGACATTTTACTTATATATAATCCTGTGAATTAGTGTCTCACAATCTGTAGTCTATACAATTTACATAAAATCCTGTGAATGTCTCACAACCTGTAGTTGGTTGGTAATCATACAAGTTTTATTTATTATCTGATTTCCATGTTATTGTCATGGTTACCATATGTATACCAGTAGTTTGGTTACAGGTGTCACACACTGCTGTACTGTAGTAGTTCGACTTTCTTTACCATCAATACAGACCCAAACACTGCCCACAGGACATCCTCCCTGTCTATACCTACAGCCAGTGTACAGTCTGTGTCTGTGTGTATGACCCCGAGGAACTCACCACCTCCACTGATGAGAAGGACCCTGTAGTTGTTATAATCCCCTATGATCAGGTTCCCCACACTGTCATACACCATACCACTGGGGTTAAATGGTTGACCTCTTGTTTGTGGTGTTTGTTTATATGTCCTGGGGATGTCACCTCGATATACAAACAGTTCCTTGAAATCAGTGTCCATGACAACAACATGTCTTTTTTCATCACCACCATCTGTTTCAATACTGAAATCAGCGACTGCCACATTGTGAGTGACAGGGCACTCTGAGATCCTGCGCGGTGTACATACTAATGGTTTCCCAGTCCCTTTAGCCATAGTAGAACATGCCATTTTACCTTTTGTGGTAAATTTGGAGATGTGTCTGGTCATCCCTACAATTATATGGTTACTGGCTGTAACACATATACACCTGGGGTACTCCTTGGTACTGAATCTGTGTTTCAGTCGTCCTGATACCAGCTTCATGATGTAGTTTTTATCATTACAGACCCACAGTGTGTGTTTGATGGGTGACAGACTTATGTCATGGATCCGGACATTGTTATTGAACTCCTTTATTACTTTACCCTTCCTGTCCAGGAGAGTTACTGTACAACCGTACTTGGTCCACACCTGACCATCAGTGGTGGGACATACAGAATGAATGCCACATGGA